TGAACAAGACAGGGATTGAATCAAACTGCAAATAACTGAATCACGCAACCAATGTTGTGCCTAATGCAGTAGTTCTTTGAGCTTTCATTTTCTTTGCTGCTTCTTTTTTTCTCTGACAAAAAAAAACATATATATAAAAACTATGAGTAAATAGAATACCATAAAAATAGGTTTCCCAAAAAAAAAAATCATTTAAATAAATCTCAGGTTAACTTGGTTTCAAAGCTCAATGTTAGACAAATAAATGCACAGACTAAAATCAATTACAGAGATTCAACTTATCAAATTAGATATAATTTGAATAGTACCAAGACTAGGTTGTTTTTAATAGAGTATATATTTTGTCAGAATCGACTCAGTAAAATACAAAAAGCCATGAGTAACATGTCACCACAGAGAAAATGAAGATAGCACCAAGAACAATTCTAAAAAACCACAGTATGTTCTCAAGAACAATCGTAGCATGTTCGTTGAGAATCTAATGGTAAAATAAGTTGACTCTGCTGACAAGCCAGGATCTGAGTTATATATGTGGAATTCATGAGAACAAACTCCAAGTACTTTTGTTTCAAGTTCCTACTACAAACACTAATGAGGTCAAATAAAGATTCTCTCGATCAAATGCCTCTACATATATCAAGGAAAATTTCGTTTTTTGTTTGAAAGAAAGAAACCACGCCAATGATTTATTTTGCTCGATAAAATTAGAAGCACGGAGGCATGGTAGATAGGGACAACAGTACTTTTAAGATTCTCAAAGTACGCAATCTATCGTTCAAAAATGAGACAGTAAGAACATTAGAATAATTTCCAGATAGCCTCATCAAAGTTCAACGCCATCAACTCACTCCCTTAAACCCAGTAGTGGTTTTTGTGTACAATTAAAGCAACTGAAACATTTTGCTTTGACGGGGTTTAATGTCAACATAGAAAAATTTAAGTAAATGACTTNNATAGAAAAATTTAAGTAAATGACTTGAGTTCATTTGGACTTTCTCCATAAAAGTATGAACCGCAAATTCATTAAAATTCTACCATAATCCATTCTTTATTTGCCAATGGAAGACCATGGAAAAGATTGAAATGTAGGACGAGAACATATCACTTGTTTGGAGGAGGTGTGTTCAGAAGAACTCAATTGTGCTCTCGATTCTTAGTTTTTGAAAATGTGAAAAGGTATTGAACAGCTACATCATCACACAAAATGTTGCGTGAAGTAAAGAAAAGTATGCCGTTCATAATGCATATCTCCATGTAACGACACAACACAAGACTGAGAAAATGAATGTAAATCAAGAAAATATGATAGTTACATGCCTAGATCGATTGGTTACAAACAATAACTAAGCTTACTCAGCTTCAACGCTTATCCTTATATTCATGTAACCTGTCAATGGTACTTCCTCCCTCACCTTTCAATGCTTCTAATTCTCTTTNNNATTCTCTTTCTGACATTACACTCTCGGGAAATGAGTTCTCTTCTTCTTAGATATTTCCTTTAGTGTTTAACTTAAGCAGTAGCCTTCATTACCTTGGCCTCTTTTCCAACAAATTGCAAGGTGAGATTCCAGTATCCTTGAGGAATATGACTACTTTAACTTTTTTAGATTTATCTAATAACCAATTCACGGGGGAAGTACCTCATCTTGCATTACCTTCCTCGTTGAGTTACTTATATCTTTCTGACAATATGTTTACTGGTACCGTGACCCAATGCATAGGAAGCCTTTCCAAACTTGAATTTTTGTTTCTTGAATCAAACAACTTTGAAGACATAATCACTGAATCACATTTCTTTAATCTTTCCCATTTACTATTGTTGGGCTTGTCTTCCAACCCAGGTATCTCGTTCAATATCAGTTCAGGATGGAATCCTCCTTTTCAACTGACAAAGGTATTTTTATCGGGTTGCAAAGTGGGTCCACATTTCCCCACATGGCTTAGAACACAAAAGAGATTAGAGTATCTTGATATCTCTAATGCTAAAATTTCAGACACCTTCCCTGATTGGTTTCCGAAGTCAAGTCCAAAATTATCGACTTTAAATGTATCACATAACAATTTTCATGGTGTCCTTCCTGATTTGTCGTCAAAGTTCTCTCTTTTTGAATCCATAGATCTGAGCTTTAATCATTTTAATGGTTCATTACCAATTTTACCTCCGAATGGATCTATAGTGGGTTTGTCGAGTAATGAGTTTTCTGGGTCAATCACCAATTTATGCAATGAAACTAGTTGCTATTGGGCTTTTCTTGACCTCTCGAATAACTCATTGTCTGGACAGCTTCCGGATTGTTTTGNTGCTTGGAGTGAATTGGTCTTTCTGGGTCTCAGGTCCAATGAGTTCTTTGGTAATATTCCTTCAAACTTGTGTCATCTTTCACACTTACAAGTGTTGGACTTTTCTTCAAACAAGATTTCTGGTGGTATACCAAAATGTCTAAACAATCTCACTGCTATGATGCAGGTGCATTCTGAGTTTGATACGGCATTTCTTCTTCGATACGTTGGAGGCTATGAGAGAGCAATTATAACATGGAAAGGAAAGGAGGCCGAGTACATAAATACTCTTAAACGGAAAATGCTACTTGCCCAGGCTTGGAGACCGACTAAAAAACAGGGAAATAAGTAATCACGTGTAAACATATAACTATCACGTGTAAACAGCAATTTGGAGGAAACCCAATTTAGAACCCTTTTGGACTTGGGGAGAAACCCAAATTTCCGCCTTCAACCTCCGTTTTCCTCTCCTGCTCTCTGCTAGATCAAAGACAGAACTTCCATTTCGACCGCACCCATTTAATCTCCAACCCCCATTTTCAGTCGCTACACAACTTCCATTTTCACTCGGCGATTGGTCCCATCTTCCTCACTGATTTTGGGTGACCCGTAGCTGTGGTACGATTTTCACTCCCGGAGGGTTTTGGACTCTGATTTGGGGCGACAACAGTAACTATAAAGGTACGAGTTTGGAGGTGAAGTAGTGGAAATTTGAACATTTTCGGACTTGCTTGCACTTTGATTTCTTGTTTTACCTTTATGCCAAATATATTTCTATTCAACCAGTGAAATATTTTAACTATTAAAACACATGGTGCTCATTTTTTTATGGTAAGCAGATTGTTAAATGATGATGGAGTTGAATAAGTGAAATTGGGATCTGAAGAATTGCAATGCCTCTGTCCACTATAATTTCTGTCGATATTTTTATTGCATTTAATTGATAACCATACTTCATCTGATTGTGAGTATTAATTATTCAAGTTTTCTAAATTCTCTAGGTATCTCCTACTGAAATGATCTGAAACTATACTTTCTGTCGATATTTTTATTGCATTTAACTTGTAACCAATGTTCATCTGAATGTGAGTATTAATTATATCGAATGAAAGTATAATTGTTTTGTTTGTTGACTTAAAATGACCAATACCTTTTTTCTCGTACCAGAACAAATTATGGAGCATGTGCAGGACAAGCAGGATGGTGTTTTGGTGCAATCTGAAAGTGAGAATATGTCAAAGCCTGTCAACGTAGTTGAAGGTGAAAAATTTAGGGAAGTTGGTGTAAATGTGCCGGAGGTGGGAATGTTGTTAAAAAATGAGAAAGATATGTACGATTTTTACATGGAGTATGCTTACATAGTGGGGTTTCCAGTTAAGAAAATGAATTCAAAAAAGGGCGACGATGGAGTTTTGAGATATGTGACGTTGACATGTAGTCGGGAAGGCGGAAGAATCGGTAATAGTAGCGGTACTTTGAAGCCGCAACCAACAGTTAAGATTGGCTGTAAAGCCAGGATATCTGCATCTTGTGATAGTTTTGGAAACTGGAGAATTAACACGTAAACCTCGATCACAATCATGAAACAAGTCCTTCTTAATATTGTTTCTCTGTATTGATGGATGTAATTGTGGTGTTGTAGTTTCTGATGGATTTTATCTGAATTTGCTGAAAATTGAGTCTGGATTTATGCATTTCCGTTATGTTGAATTTGCTTCTTAGAATTTTCAATTCAGATTAGCAGATTCTGTGGTTTTAATGGAGTGCATTAAGTAGCAGATTCTGTGGTTTTAATGGAGTGCATTATGTAGCATTTTCTCGCAAATTTATGTCAGTAGCTTGATTTTTGGATGTGGTTAATATAGGTAGGATAACATTGCAGCACAACAGGTCAGATTGTTTGAATACTACAGCTAAAACTTTGTCCTATGCATCCCAATAATGCTTAGTGTTTAGTTAAAACCATCAGGCACAAATGTAATAGCTGGAGAAAACACTTATAAATTAACCCAAATGTTCAGATATTTGTATTACAAACGTTGACTTCGAAACATAAGTACATCAACCACATACAACCCATGCATTAACGAAGCATAAGAGTTCATACACAACCTATCATTACACAAACTACCATTACATTCGTTCAATATTCAACTGGCTGCTTCCCTTTGGCATCAACTTGCGCGATTGTTACGTTCACTGAAATCTAGAGCTCCTTATCGTGACTTATTCAAACTCGAGACTGGAACATTCGGGAGATGTCTTCAATTGTTTCATTCTTCGCGGGTTTATTCCACATTCGGCATTCTAAGAAAGACGTCAACAACCACCAACAATTCTGCAAATTGTGGAAAAAAGATAACATAATCACTACAAAAATCATAACCCATCTCTGAGTTGTGACTAAATAAGCAGCTGATAATGGAGTAACTCATTAGACACATTTCATTGTGCACTAAATGAGCATTTGTTTTCATTTCTGTGTGACTGAAAATACAATCTGGTTATTTCTTGAAATCCTACAGAGTGCACAACAACCTATTTGTATGGCTAGAAGAGGGCATTGCTATAATCTAAAATATACTAGAATACATGAAGCAGATATAGCAAGGTTCTCTTACTACTATTCCTTATTACCTTTAACATGCAAAAATAGCAGTTCAGAATTTTTTTCCCTTGTGCATTGTATAATGATATAAACAAATGTAAATTTTTTATCCAAATTACCTATAAAAAATGAAATCATTTACATAAAGGGCCTAACAAAGTGATATTTTTATCCAGGGAGCCTTTAACTTCTTTTCTGGGAAGTCTTCGTGTAATTTGTTACAGAGTACCAGCATGCATAAGCCCAAACATTATGAATGTATATTAATGATACTGCATGCACCTTCACTAATGTCCAAATAATGGACTTGAATTTAACATTGGCTCTCCTTTCAAATTTGACCTGCAGCTTAACTGACCTCTTATTATATCATTTAACTAATACTGACCTCTAAATGGTACCAATGCATGACAAAAATAAGCATTAGGATTAAAGCGTGTAGTTAACTCAGTGTGGTAGAAAAGGTGTTACACATACCTTATGCCAGAAATGTAAAACATCAGCATCACACTGGTTAATAGCTTTCGAAGACAGGTGCAGTGCAGTGCATTGTTGTCCACAAAACTCTAGTTATCATTAGCAGGATTTGTACCCATGTACAGGAAAAGATTCTCCACACTTAGCTTCAATTCACCATATTGCATGACATAGGAGCCATAAAAATAATTTTGATTAGCAGTTCTCCTTTTAACCTGTGAATGCCAACATCATAAAATCATAAGAAATGCACACACAAAAACAAACAAACAAGATGGAGGGCGGCTGCATTTTGGATGTTTCTAGCAAGACACTAAAAATAATTACACTCATTATCTCCATTCTTATATTTTTTAGGAACAATGTCCACAATAAAATGACAACTGAGAGCACTAAATGTGCAATTTTTTAGGTGAAATCCATGTAGAATGTCAACCTTCCCACCACAAAAAGACTGATGATCTAATTTTACAATTGTTTCATGAAGCACAGATAAGCCATTCAAACTTCATTCTTCCACAATGCAGAAATTTACATAATCACAAACCAAAAATACAACCTCAAATAAATCTGATTCCACAACATTTATTAATAATAAACCCCCACATTATGTCAAAACCCTCCCCAGAATCCCCCCAAAAAAAAACCCATTCATACCAACTCCGAAACATTCAAAAACCAAAACTCCCGTTTGGAGGTCACCGAGCTGGCGCAGGACCCCGCCGAGGCCAACCATGGCGATGCCTTCCAGCAAAATCATTTTCATTACGAAAGAGCAAGAAAAAGTTCTATGAAAAGAGAAAACCAAGTACCTGTGGTAAGCAAGTTTCATGCGGGGACGGAGATGGCTTCGGATGCGACTGGATATGGTAGGTCGAGCGACGCCGACAGCTTCGAGTGGCCGGAGATGGTGAGT